AAACTGCACCAGGATGTAGAGTGGGTCATGGGGACTCTGTGTGCCAAGTTTGGTCTTTATCAGTCATTGGATGAGGGTTGCAGCGGTCCCAGGAAGTGAGTGGATGTACTGAAAGTCCCATCATCCATGACCCACCCTCCTCCAAACAGCAGTAGGATGTAGAGTGGGTCATGGGGGCTCTGTGTGGCAAGTTTGGTCTTTATCGGTCTTTGTTGGGAGGTACGGTAGTCTGTGGGAACAGAAGGGTGGGGAAGTACTACAAATCCCATTGTCCATTGTCCATCCTTCCCCCAATCCTCACCAAGACGTAAAGAGGGTCATGGGGGTTATGTGTGCCAAGTTTGGTCTTGATTGGTCATTGGATGAGGGTCGCAGTGGTCTCAGGAAGTGAGTGGAGGTACTTCAATTCCCATCATCCATGGTCAGCCGTCCTCCAAACTGCAGTAGAATGTAGAGTGGGTCATGGGGGCTCTGTGTGGCAAGTTTGGACTTTATCAGTCTTTGTTGGGGGCCACAGTGGTCTGTGGGAACCGATGGGTTTTAAAGTACTACAAATCCCATCATCCTTTGTCCGTCCTCCCCCAAACCTCACTAGGACGTAAAGGGGGTCATGGGGGTTATGTGTGCCAGTTTGGTCCAGGTCCTTCACCCGTGCTGGTCACAGTGGCCTGTGAAAGTGGCAGCCAATCAGAAAGCTGGCACATACACCATCCTCCCTCCGCATACAAACACTGACTTTTATTATATACATAGAATGATTACATTTATATACCGCCTTTCTCAGTATGAGGGCGACACAGGGCAGTTCACAATTAGCAACAATTCAATGCCACAACCATTATAACAGTTAAAACAACCATCAGTGTGGGAGGCTTCTCTCAGGTCCCTCCATGGGGAGCTGGAGCTGACAGAGGGAGCTCAAGCTACTCTCCCCGGATTCAAACCTGGCACACAGGGGCTCCTGGTAGATTCAGTGTGGACAATGAATCTACCCACTGGGTTGTTGTAGGTTTTTTCGGGCTATATCAGGGGCGGCTCAACCCATTACGCAAAGTAAGCATTTGCAGTATAGTTTATTTTGCCCAGGGGTGTTCTTGAGATGCTCTTGGGGGGAAATAGACCTTGACAAATGCGAGTTGTAGTTACTGGGATGTATAGTTCACCTACAATCAAAGAGCATTCTGAACTCCACCAATGATGGAATTGAACCAAATATGGCACACAGAACCCCCACGACAAACAGAAAATATATATCAGTGATTGGTTTGGGGGGGTTGGGCAAAATACTTACCGTTGAAAATTATCTAGGGCCGCCTCTGGGCTATATGGCCATGTTCTAGAGGCATTCTCTCCTGACGTTTCGCCTGCATCTATGGCAAGCATCCTCAGAGGTAGTGAGGTTTGTTGGAACTAGGAAAATGGGTTTATATATCTGTGGAAAGACCAGGGTGGGACAAAGGACTCCTGTCTGTTGGAGCTAGGTGTGAATGTTTCAACTGACCACCTTGATTAGCATTTGATGACCTGGCAGTGCCTGGGGCAATCTTTTGTTGAGAAGTGATTAGATGTCCTTGTTTGTTTCCTCTCTGTTGTTTTGCTGTTGTAATTTTAGAGTTTTTCAATACTGGTAGCCAGATTTTGTTCATTTTCAAGGTTTCCTCCTTTCTGTTGAAATTGTCCACATGCTTGTGAATTTCAAAGGCTTTTCTGTGTAGTCTGACATGGTGGTTGTTGGAGTGGTCCAGCATTTCTGTGTTCTCAAATAAAATGCTGTGTCCAAATTGGTTCATCAGGCGCTCTGCTATGGTTGACTTGTCTGGTTGAAGTAGTCTGCAGTGCCTTTCATGTTCCTTGATTCGTGTCTGGGCAATGCTGCTGTGTTTGGTGGTCCCTCTGTAGACTTGTCCACAGCTGCATGGTATACGGTAGACTCCTGCAGAGGTGAGAGGATCCCTCTTGTCCTTTGCTGAACGGAATATTTGTTGGATTTTCTTGGTGGATCTGTAGATAGTTTGTATGTTGTGCTTCCTCATCAGCTTCCCTATGCGGTCAGTGGTTCCCTTGATGTCTGGCAAGAACACTTTCCTCTGGGTGGGTCTTTGTCTTGACTCTCGTGGCTTGTCAGACGAAAGCTGGGGATCACAACCAGACACAGTGAAGACATCTGCTCTTGTGCTTTGCTCCTCTGCTGCTGAATATGCATGCCCAGTGTGGAACACATCTCACCACACTAAAACAGTGGATGTGGCTCTTAATGAGACATACCGCATTATCACGGGGTACCTGCGCCCTACACCACTGGAGAAATTACACTGTTTAGCCGGTATTGCACCACCTGACATCCGCCGGGAAGTAGCAGCCAATAGTGAAAGGACCAAGGCAGAGACATCTCCAGCTCATCCCCTGTTTGGGTATCAGCCAGCACGTCAATGACTTAAATCAAGAAACAGTTTTCTAAGATCTACAGAGACACTCGCTAGAACACCCCAGCAAGCGAGAGTCCAAAAGTGGCAGGCTCAAACCCAGAACCTCAATCAATGGCTGATACTAAATGAGAAGCTCCCTCCTGGGCACACATAAAACTGGGCGACTTGGAAGGCACTGAACAGATTGCACTCTGGCACCACGAGATGCAGAGCCAACCTTAAGAAATGGGGCCACAAAGTGGAATCCACGACATGCGAGTGTGGAGAAGAGCAAACTACAGACCACCTGCTGCAATGCAACCTGAGCCCTGCCACATACACAATGGAGGACCTTCTTGCAACAACATCAGAGGCACTCCAAGTGGCCAGCTACTGGTCAAAGGACATTTAGCATAAATGCCCTAATGCCAAGAATCTATATAAATAAAAATGTAATTTTCAATTGTGGGATTAACATAACTCAAAACCCACTGGACAAATTGACACCAAATTTGGACACAACACACCTGTCAGGCCAACGAGTGACCATCACTCATAAAAACAATAAAAAATACAGTGGAACGGAATCAAAATGCCAAAAAACAAAAATTACATTACAATGCATGTGCAAAACCACATATGTACACAAACACAAATATCTAGACATATACACAAATATATACAGAAATATATACACAGATATATGCGCACACAAAGCACACATAGAAAGGGGGAAGGAAGGAAGGGAGAGAAAGAGGGAAAGAAGAAGGGAAGGAGAGAAGGAAATAAAAAAGTGAAAATGGGAAGGAAGGAGAGAAGGAACGAAAGAGAGAAAGAGGGAAGGAAGGAAGGAAAGAGACAAGGAAGGATAGAACCAAAGAGCAAAGGAAGTGAGAAAAGAAACAGATAGAGAAGGAAGAAAAAGAGGGAAAGAAGGAAGGAAGCTAAGGGAAGGGAAGGGAAGGAAAGGAAAGGAAAGAGGGAAGGGAAGGGAAGGGAAGGGAAGAGGGAAAGGAAGGGACGGGGAGGGAGGGGGGAGGGAGGGAGGGGGAGGAAGGAAGGAGGGAATGAAGGAAGGAAGGAAGGAAGAAGGAGAGAAAGACGGAGGGAAGGTTGGCCACAGCAATGCATGACGGGTACAGCTAGTCTATATAAATAAAAATGTAATGCTTGTGAGATTAACATAACCACAGGACAAATTGACACCAAATTTGGACACAATACACCTACTAGGCCAACGAGGGACCATCACTAAAAATTTGAGTTTGTCATTTGGGAGTTGTAGTTGCTGGGGATATATAGTTAACCTACAATCAAAGCGCGTTCTGAACTCCACCAAGGATGGGATTGAATCAAACGTGGCACACAGGATTCCCATGACCAACAGAAAACACTAGAAAGGTTTGGTGGGCATTGACCTTGAGTTTGGGAGTTGTAGTTCACCTACATCCAGAGAGCACTGTGGACTCGAAAAAATGATGGATCTGGACCAAATTTGGCACAAATATTCGATATGCCCAAATATGAACACAAATGGAGTTTGGGAGAAATAGATCTTGACATTTGGGAGTTGTAGTTACTGGGATTTATAGTTCACCTCCAATCAAAGAGCATGCTGAACCCCACGAACAACAGAATAGGGGCAAATTTCCCACACAGAATCCTTATGACAAATAGAAAATACTTAAGGCCACTCAGTCCAACTCCCGCACTGGTGGAGTTTGGGAAAAATAGACATTGACATTTGAGAGTTGTGGTTACTGGGTTACTGGGATTTATATTTCCCCTACAATCAAAGAGCAACAACTAGAAATCCCAAATGTCAAGGTCTATTTTCCCCAATCTCCACCAGTATAGGTGAACTACAACTCCCAAACTCAAGGTCAATGCCCACCAAACCCTTCCAATATTTGCTGTTGGTCATGGGAGTTCTGTGTGCCGAGTTTGGTTCAATCCCATCATTGATGGAGTTCAGAATACTCTTTGATTGTAGGTGAACTATAAATCCCAGCAACTACAACTCTCAAATGACAAAATCCCCCCCCCCCCCAAAAAAAAAAATCAGTATTCAAATTAGACCGTATCGGGTATTTGTGCCAAATTTGGTCCAGTGAATGAAAATATATCAGGCATATCAGATATTTACATTACGAATCATAACAGTAGCAAAATTATGGTTATGAAGTACATAGCAACAAAACTAATGTTATGGTTGGGGGTCACCACAACATGAGAAACTGTTTTAAGAGGTCACTGCATTAGGAAGGTTGAGAAACACTGCCATATTCAAATAATATCAAACGGCATTCAGTCCACAATGCAGATGCAACTCAGGAGGAATCTTTTGTTTTTTAGAAGAAGGGATTGGCCAAAAGAAGATAGTCTAGACTAGTGGTTCTTAAGTTGTGGTCCGCAGTTGTTTTGGCCTTCAACTCCTAGAAATCTTAATAGCTGGTAAACTGGCTGGTATTTCTGGGAGTTGTAGGCCAACCTGGGGACCCACAGGTTGAGAACCACTGGTGTAGAGAGTCTTGGAGAGCTATTACAAACAGCATTGGGGTCAACTCAAAGGGTTTGACTTCAAGAGAGACTTACTGCTATCTTCTGTAGAGTCATCTTGACCGACGTCCATGTGTCCAGCCTTCTGTCCAGGATGAGGGTGAACTTGCTGTTTGATTTGCATTGGCTATAATGGAAGAGAAGAGGATAAAGTGAAACAGTGGAAGGGGGAGAGATAAACTGAGGTACTCCTGGTCAGTCGCAAGGCCGAACAGGGCATAGGGTTACAGCCTGTGTAGGACGGGGTTACACTCCCCCTGAAGATGCAGGTTCGCAGCTTGGGAGTGATCCTGGACTCATCGCTGAGCCTGGAACCCCAGATCTCGGTAGTGACCAGGGGAGCACTTGCACAGTTAAAACTTGTGCGTCAGCTGCACCTGTATCTTGGGAAGTCTGACTTGGCCACGCTAGTCCACGCTCTGGTTACATCCCATATAGACTACTGCAATGCTCTCTACGTGGGGTTGCCTTTGAAGACGGTCTGGAAGCTTCAACTAGCCCAACGAACGGCAGCCAGGTTGTTAGCAGGAGCGGCGCTCAGGGAGCATACAACCCCCTTGTTGCGCCAGCTCCACTGGCTGCCAGTTTGCTACCAGGTCCAATTCAAAGTGTTGACTTTGGCCTATAAAGCCTTAAATGGTTCTGGCCCAACTTACCTGTCTGAACGTATCTCCCCTTACAAACCATGGAGGACTTAAAGATCATCTGGGGAGGCCCTGATCTTGGTCCCGCCTTCGTCACAAGCACGTTTGGCGGGGACGAGAGACAGGGCCTTCTCAGTGGTGGCCCCTCGGCTATGGAACGCCCTCCCTAGGGAGATCAGATCTGCTCCCTCCCTCTTGACATTTCGGAGGCAAGTTAAAATGTGGCTATTTGAGCTGAAATGGCAGGGAGAAGGTTTGAGGAAAAGAGACAAAGAGAGATCCTGAGAACTGAAAAGCACGGCTTTATTCTTGGTTGGCGCCAACCGGATATGGACCCTCCTGGTAAGCCAGGAAAGAAGGGTTCAGAACAAAGGAAATCCTTGGTTTATATACCTTTTAAAATAATTATGCATGCATCATACAGACATCACAATGTGCGTCACAAAATTCTACTTTTACATTGACTTCAATAGCATATTTTCAAACTCAACACCTTGTCAATCTTCATTAGCATCCCTATCTGAAGAGTTGCTATTAATGAGGACCATCGCCAGAATGTCTACCGGACCTGATAGCAAGAGTCTCCATCCATCCTAAGATAAGGTCTTCCTGAAACCTCTTAATGGCCACCTCATTAGTCTTATGATAAGGTGCCTGGTACCGAGATGGGGCCTCTTGAAATATGCCAGGCCTCAAGACATTCCTTTTCCTAGATGCTGGCCTCTCTAATTTTTCAGCTTTTAAGAAGTCAAGTGAAGTGAAGGCCATGCATACATACATACATTTCTCTTATATATTTTCTAACTCCTATTTCTAATATGGTTACATCAAATATATATTTTCCAATATGTGAAGTATGTATTTTCATCAAGCCTTCATCAGAGCAAGTGTTTACAAATACAGAGTAGCTAATATAGGGAATCGAATGACCTGACAATGGAACTGGACAATGCTTGAGAATAATGAGATGCTGAAGATGTTGCTTTTGCTGCTTTTGTGATGTTTTATACTGTTTAATGTTTTTTATCTATATTATTGTGCTGTCACACTCAGATCCTATAAAAATAAAACTAAGATGTGCTTCTCTCTTTGTCTGGGCGGACCGCGGGGGTCTTTCTTTAGAAGCTTGAGATTCCCAGCAACTGAGGCTACTACAGGTTTGAACACCAAAACAGAATATTTATTTCTCAAAGTCCTTGGCAGACTTGGCACAGCTTGTCAAAGTTACAAACAAAACAATCAATTGGTGAAACCATAGAGATGATCTTTCTTTCTTATTTCTTCAGTTACTGAGGTAACTCTTCCCCAAAAGGTAGAAAATATCCTGGGATCCTTTCACCCTAACCTTGAGCTGCTATGGTTAGAAAAACAGGTTTTTCCCTATCCATAGCTCAAGGTTAGCTTTGGAGATGAAGTACTGCTCAATAACATTCAATAACTTTTCTATATCTCAATTGCATCTATAACTCAATTGCTATCTATAACTCAATTCGGTAAATTCGGACAGGGCTATTTAAGGCTTTATAGGCCAAAGCCAGCACTTTGAATTGGCAACCAGTGGAGCTTTTTATTTTTATTAATATTATTGTAATGTCAGGAGTAACTTGAGAAACTTCAAGTCGCTTCTGGTGTGAGAGAATTGTCCGTCTGCAAGGACGTTGCCCAGGGGACACCCGGAAGTTTTGATGTTTTATCATCCTTGTGGGAGGCTTCTTTCATGTCCCCACATGAGGAGCTGGAGCTGATAGAGGGAACTCATCTGTGCTCTCCCCGGATTCGAACCTGCAACCTGTCGGTCTTCACTCCTGCTGACACAGGGGTTTAACCCACTGCACCATCGGGGGCACCAGTGGAGCTGATGCAACATGAGAGTTGAATGCTCCCTGTATGCCACTCCAGTTATTAACCTGGCTGGCTCTCATTGAACTATTTGAAGCTTCTGAACAGTCTTCAAAGGTAGACCCATGTAGATTGCATTGCAGTAATCTATCCTAGATGTAACGAGAGCTTGGACTACTGTGGCCAAGTCTGACCTCCCAAGGTATGGGCACAACTGCCACACAAATTATAATTATGCAAAAGCTCCCCTGGCCACCGTCACAACGTAGGATTCCAGGCTCAATCCAGGATAAACTCCCAAGCTGAAAACCTGTGCCTTCAAGGGGAGTGTAACCCCATCCAGCACAGGCTGTAACCCTATACCCTGTTTGGCCTTGCGACTGACCAGGAGGATCTCTGTCTTGTCTGGATTCAACTTCAATTTGCTCACCTTCATCCAGACTGTCACAGCGGCCAAGCACCAGTTCAAGACTTGGACAGCCTCCTTTGTAGAAGGTGGAAAGGAGTAATAGAGTTGGGTGTCATCTGCATACAGATGGCATCAAATTCCAAAACTCTGGATGATCTCACCCAATTGGCTTCACGTAGATATTAAACAATATGGGGGACAATACTGAGCCCTCCGGGACCCCACAGGCTGTGGGGCCAAGTAGGAGTCCCTCAGCAAGAACTTCTGAGTACGATCCTCCAGGAAGGACTGGAGCCACTGCAGAACAATACGTCCTAGACCCATCACATGCATGTACAAATAAGACCTGAACTAACCTTTTTCAGCTCAGTGACTCATTCCCTTCCATCTGAATGGCTATTCTGGGAAACCCATTCCTAACCAACTCATCAAACAATTATCAAGAGAGTTGAGTTCACTTAATAAAAAATGCCTGGAGGTTAGGCTTCCATCAAGGCCCAAGAGCTTCATCCAACCCACTCAGTGCCTTTTGTTGCCTTTCATCCAAGATCCGGTAATCGCCGAAGGGGGTGAAAGGGTCATGTCAGGAGAACTAAGCAGGGAAGGGGGAGAAGAAGAAAATCCAGTGCTACAAAACTCAACATAAAGTCCAAGACAAATTGCTAAGCCAGGTAGAATCATAGACCTGGACGAGACCGACCCATGATCCATCTAATCTGACTCTTTCATAGAATCATAGAATCATAGAATCAAAGAGTTGGAAGAGACCTCGTGGGTCATCCAGTCCAACCTGCCAAGAAGCAGGAATGTTGCATTCAAATCACCCCTGACAGATGGCCATCCAGCCTCTGTTTAAAAGCTTCCAAAGATTCAAAACGATCTTGACAGATTAGAGAGATGGGCCAAAACTAACAAAATGAAGTTCAACAGTGACAAATGCAAGATACTCCACTTTGGCAGGAAAAAATGAAATGCAAAGATACAGAATGGGGGATAATGCCTGGCTCGAGAGCAGTACGTGTGAAAAAGATCTTGGAGTCCTCGTGGACAACAAGTTAAACATGAGCCAACAATGTGATGTGGCGGCAAAAAAAAAGCCAATGGGATTTTGGCCTGCATCAATAGGAGCATAGTGTCTAGATCTAGGGAAGTAATGCTACCCCTCTATTCTGCTTTGGTTAGACCACATCTGGAATATTGTGTCCAATTCTGGGCACCACAATTCAAGAGAGAGATTGACAAGCTGGAATGTGTCCAGAGGAGGGCGACTAAAATGATCAAGGGTCTGGAGAACAAGCCCTATGAGGAGCGGCTTAAGGAGCTGGGCATGTTTAGCCTGAAGAAGAGAAGGCTGAGAGGAGATATGATAGCCATGTATAAATATGTGAGAGGAAGCCACAGGGAGGAGGGAGCAAGCTTGTTTTGCTTCCCTGGAGACTAGGACGCGGAACAATGGCTTCAAACTACAAGAGAGAAGATTTCATCTGAACATGAGGAAGAACTTCCTGATTGTGAGAGCCGTTCAGCAGTGGAACTCTCTGCCCCGGAGTGTGGTGGAGGCTCCTTCTTTGGAAGCTTTTAAACAGAGGCTGGATGGCCATCTGTCAGGGGTGATTTGAATGCAATATTCCTGCTTCTTGGCAGAATGGGGTTGGACTGGATGGCCCATGAGGTCCCTTCCAACTCTTTGATTCTATGATTCTAAAGAAGGAGCCTCCTCCACACTCCGGTGCAGAGAGTTCCACTGCTGAACGGCTCTCACAGTCAGGAAGTTCTTCCTCATGTTCAGATGGAATCTCCTCTCTTGTAGTTTGAAGCCATTGTTTCGTGTCCTAGTCTCCAAGGAAGCAGAAAGCAAGCTTGCTCCCTCCTCCCTGTGGCTTCCTCTCACATATTTATACATGGCTATCATATCTCCTCTCAGCCTTCTCTTCTTCAGGCTAAACATGCCCAGCTCCTTAAGCCGCTCCTCATAGGGCTTGTTCTCCAGACCCTTGATCATTTTAGTTGCCCTCCTCTGGACACATTCCAGCTTGTCAATATCTCTCTTGAATTGTGGTGCCCAGAATTGGACACAATATTCCAGGTGTGGTCTAACCAAAGCGGAATAGAGCATGGTGAGCATTACTTCCCTAGATCTAGACACTATGCTCCTATTGATGCAGGCCAAAATCCCATTGGCTTTTTTTGCCGCCACATCACATTGTTGGCTCATGTTTAACTTGTTGTCCACGA